ATATGAGCGTCAGAATCGCTAGTACACTGATCCACAGCTGACCGGTCAAAACAAACGAAAAAGTTGTTAGTTGCAAAGCTGGGAAAATCAGCATTTGTTCTTAGAATTTCAAGCACAGTTTTAAACAATGAAATAACCGTTAAGCATCGTTGTGACAATTTCCTTCTCTTGTGGACTGAACTCAACGCTGAGTGGTAGGGTGCCGTTGCTTTCATGATTGATGCTTGAAGATTTCACCGATGCACTGTCCCTTTCATCATTCGCCTCACTGATCCTCTGAAGCGCATCGTAAACGCGCTTGTCCTTTTTCCTCTTCCGTTTTTCCTCACTAAAAAGAAAAAGACGGAATCGCTGACACAAAAATATTTGCGTACAAACAAACATTACCCATTAAGTTACTGTAATAAATCCACCAATATCCCAACAGCTTTACTGACATGAGATTATCATTTCGCAGACGGAGTCTCTTTTTACAAACAAACATGTATTCGAAGGCAACGTGCTAGACCAATGCATCATTGGTTCTTGTTCTTGATATACTTGCTATGTGTATAGCATCCCTCCCTATATATACTCTTATTGTATGGCTACAAACCCGTGAAATACACCCTTCTGCGACACACTCTCTCAACAGCCGTCGGCTTTTCGCGAAAATCTCGTGGTAACCTACTCCGACTGTCCAGCCGTGCTAAGCTGCTATACACAAACTTCGAAACACGCTTTTTTTTCACTTGCATCTTTTCAGCCCTCTCCTATAAATTCATTTACGGTTTTTCGTTTTATAAAGAGGAGTGAAAATGTTTCTCTGTTTATGCAATATTTATACCACAACCGTTGTACAGTGGAGATCTAGATGTGGCGATTATTTAAGGCATACGCAGTTTAATAAACCAAAACGTCTCGATCTCAACTAGAACTATTAATTCTTCAGAAATACGTTTTGGTCTTAATGAATATAACAACTGACCGACAAATGATAATTATAATTCAATGCTAACTCAGCAAACATTTTAATATTAAATGCAGAACTGGTAGCTCGAAAAACTCACCGATAACTTGGCATATTTCCAAATTTTATCGCGCGCTGAGTGTTTTCCGGGATACTATCGTTCAGTTTCTCGTCGGCCGGTGAA